GTCAGAGCTGAGCTTTTAAGGTGGAACCGAAGTGTTGGGGTGTGAGGGATGTGGGGGGCGGTCCTTTTCTACAGTCTAAATTGAGACGTGTTAGCATGAAACTCGAGTTTCCCTCACCTTTACGGCGTGTTGTTACCTAACTAATAGGTGATCTTATTTGAATGTAAGTGTATTCAGTGTATTCAGCCACTGGACATTTTTAGTTCAGGCGTCGTGTAAAAATGCTGCCACTGCTAATTTGTCGATATTTTAACTGTCATTAGGTACCATAGTTAAGTTGGCTGCACTAAGTTTTGGTTGCTAACTCTATGACAGGTTTTTGTCTCATTGTGTAGTGTTAGGTTGTAGTACTGGTTATTTTCCATTATAGACCATGAGAGGACCATGTTTATCCCATGATAAACATGAGCCTGATCTCGCTCTGCTAGAAATGATTACCACACATATAAACAGTGTATAAATCATCTGTTGCTGCTATTTAGGGCTTTGGAAGCTGAGATCATAGTGTCATTGTTGTATCTCATCATGTGACTTTTTGCATCAGTCTGAAGGCGCTGACTCAAAGGCAAAGGTCAGTCAGAACACACTCCTACGCATGCGTTTGATATCCATAGAGAAACTGGGTTGTCCAGGGTTTCACCAGTCCAGCATTTCAAATTGGCAAAAGTATTTCTTTCTTGTGATTTTCTGTGTTAGAAGACATTCAGTTAAGGCTCTAACATGAGATGAGTAGGCTCTCTGTGTATCCCAGATAATATCAGTTGTTGTACACTAACAGATTATGCCTCTATGAATGTCACTGATGGACCTGCTGGACCTGGTACTGTGATGTGACTTGGTCCTTTTGGGCTAGTGCACCCTCATAAACCAGTTTAGCCCATATAGCGTTGCGTTAAAATCAGGTCGGCACTATAAATGCTTTGAACCGATCTGTACTGATGTCTGCATCTGTCTGTGTGTTCGCATGCTTACCTATCTGTCTCTCTTAAACCCAATGTGAGGAGTCGGGGGAGTAATTACCTGCATAATCCATTCTAGAAAATTAGATAATGCTGATTAGTACAATGGGCTACATGGGGAATAGTGGTGGGCATCACTGAATGACAGTATGTGTGTGTCTGTGTGAAAGAGAACGCTAAGAAAAAAGCTATTTGGAAAGAGGAGAGAGGGAAATCAGAGGGAAAAATGTGTTTCCTCACTAAATGATAGCTTAAGCAGGCTTAAAAGTTTTTTTGTTTTGTTTTGTGCTTCCCTCTCTCAGAAGTTTCCTCAGGTGACCTGTCCACCTCTAGTCCTGCTCGGATTAATTGTTTGGATGTGAATAATCCGGATGCGTAGATTTGATGAAGAAGGTGATGCGCTTCTTTCTTAACCTTTGGGCTGCTGTTGCTTGATTGCACTCATGATTTCCATTATGTCTCAAACTCTGCTCGATGCTTCAAGTGTAAATTTATGGAGAATGAACTGAGAGAGTAAGGACCGTTTCAAACGCTGGAAATATAAGAGCTTCTGCAACTTCTCTGAACATTCATCCATTTTCTTAACCAGTTATTCAATTCAGGGTTGTGAAGGTGTGGAGCCTATCCAGACTTTTAAAAGACAAGAGGCAGGGCACACGCTGAGCTAACGCAGAGAGACGGACAACTGTTCACACTCACATTCACACTTATGGCCAAATTAGACAAGCAAGCTAACAGGCATGTCTTTGGGCTGTGGGAGGGAAAACATGCAAACTCCGCACAGATCTTTGGTTCATGTTACAGCTTAAATTTTGTATTATTTCCCATTGGTTAGTTAGCAATAGTAAGCAGAAAGGGGTCACTTTCAGAGTAGAAGTCATCCAGTATTATAGTGGGTAGAAATGCTTTTTTAAAAATCTGGGCTTTTATTTTGAAAGGCATATGTATTGCGATATAACAGACATGAGACCACTAACCCTAAGACATTAACTTGTCGGCTATTTTGGACATGTGACAGTCATGGCGGGAGTTAGTCAGTCGCACAGGCCTAGAGACTGGTCGTGAGGGGAAAAAGGAGTATGGCTGCGAATGGTTGCTGGCAGTCACTGGAAAAATGGTTGGTAAAGGTCCAGTCACACAGGCCGGTTACACCCCCCCATTTTTCTCTAGTGATCCACCTGTTGCTCTAGAAGGGGAACAGATAGGCAAAAACCTCGTTGTTTGCTTGTATGCTAGTCACAGACTAGTCTGCAAACACTGTCCAGCTTTTCTCTGAGCTGTTGACTGTGAAGAGCAACGCACAACAGAAATGGGGACTGTTTGCCTTGAAATTAAAAGTTGGGCTTTTTGATACATTGATAGTACATTTCATGGTACTTATGGAGTATATGCAGACAAACATGAAAAACTACAGGCAACCATGGCAATCACTAGCAGGATTTGAGTGCAGCACATTCTTTGCAACCACTTTTTCCAACTAAAGCCAGCAACCGCCAGGAACCACTGCTAACCAATCGGGGGAATAGACATTTACACCATTTAACCCTATAGAAATTAAAACAAATCTCATTAGAGTAATAAAGTGGCACTGGCGTTTTGAATAGCTAGCTAAACATAACAACAGTACTTAATCTACCCATGTTTTTTTCCCCTAACTCGTATTTGGGGGGCATCCTTGTGTTTTTGCCCCCGACCATTATTCTGTCCTTTAAATGACTGCTGGATAATATGTAGCGCAAAAGTAGCACAAGTAGAAAACATATTTTATCACTTTTAAATTTAAAGAGTTGACATTAAATTATTTCCCTTTTTTTGGTGAAACAAAACACGAAGAGTTACGATGAATGAAAGACAAAACATATGAAATGGATCCTATTTCTTCTTTTTTGTTGATTTGAAATCAGTTACCTTCCAAAATGATCTGAAATCAATTCCAGTAAGACAGCTAACAACTGAAATAATTCATTTATCATAACAACAGATTGGTGTGTAACATCAAGGCTCATCACTCCCCACAAATATGCTTTATATTAAATTAGGGAGTGACGAGTACAATCCCCCTGGAGCTCACAGGTGGATCCTGGGGGTGATGGAGGGGTTTTAAACAGCAGGCGGTGAAGCAGAGCTCAAGTCAGACGGGCGTTTTGTTGGGCGAGACGGTAAATTTTGCAGCTTAAACAGATAAATATCCAAATTCGGATGGTGTGTTTGGTATATGACGTAAGGTGGCAGGGAAGTAAGTGTGCATGATGCATTGCAGCTTGCCTGAACTAGCTTGCAGGCTTCTCACCATTAATCAACAGATTGCAATTAACAGCAGAAATGTCTGGCCTCATCACCACCACAGCTGCCCGTCATAAATGTATAGTCTGCTGAAATTAACTGTAGAGCCTGGCTTAGTTTCAGTCAAATGACAAATCAAACATTTGAACAAATGTAGAACAATGCATTTCAGAGCGCACTGACAGCAGATTACTCCAGGATCTATAGTGTGTGGTAATAGGCTGTATTGGATAATAGGATGTCTGTATGTGGCCTTAATTGAAGCTCTGGAGCTGCCCTCTGGCTAACCCACTAGTTATCCAATGCAGTTTCTGTCTTACTGGAAACCCTCCATGGATGCCAAGACCGACTGTGTCCGATTCTACAGCGCCGGATTAATGGCTGTTTGATCAAGTTCAAAGGCAGAGCTGCTCTGGATAAACTCATTATAAACTGCGCCGAAAGACGGCTTGGCCACACTGTCGTACTGTACGTGGAAAGGCTTTAAATACCAGGTCTTAGTTGGTCCAGGTCCATTCTGGGCAGTCCTGTAAATAACAGGTAAGCTGGAGCCAAGAGTCAAAAGTAGGCAGGGAGACATTTTTATCTTGCTCTAGCTTGGATATTTCTGGTGTGTTACGCTGGTAATCCTCCAGTTACTCGACGTGTTGATTTAGATGGCGTCTTTGGCGGGAAGTGGACGTAACTGTAGCGTTCCTGCTCTGAAGTTTTGACAAATATGGCCATAATTCTCCATTTTAATTCAGAAGTCTCTGCAGGTGGCACGTCTAGTTGTTTATTCCAGCTGAGTGTTCTCGTTAAGGTGCAAGTTCTGAAAAACAGGCTGTTTTTTAAACGAAATCTTAATGCCAAGGTGTTTTTTAATAATATGCTGTGAGTTTCTGTTCACCTTAAGAAACCCATGGAGAAACAATAGATCAGAATTCAGAACCACCAAAAACAGTTCTGAGCAGATTATTTTTAAATATGTGTTGTGTTTAGAGTTTTAGGCCCGTCGTAGAACATGATAAGGCTCTTGCTGTCTGCACCTTTAGTGTGGTAGCCCTGGAAAACTTTGTCATTATGGAGTGTACGCCAAGCCCTGTGATTAGCCTCGAACTATGCGCATCAAGTGGCACCCTTCTTCCAGGCGAACCAGAAAGCAATATAAGACACATCACTGGGTTGTATCCTTGTATCCCAGCCCGTGCTTTCATATTTAATCATTACTGCAAACACGCTCACAGCCTTTAGACATAAACGTGATAACTTTAGCGTTACAGCGCGTACTTCCGTGGCACTCTTCTGTGTTAGAGAGGCTGTAGGAGCAAATGTATGCGGTCTGAACTCCTGGATGCAGTGCTTCTCAGGCCTTTGAGGTGTGAGGAGTCACATCGGTAGCAATCTTCAGCGCAGCCTGAGTGTGTTTACACCTGGATTTGTGCGCGAATAGGTGTGATTGGATTGCTGTCGCATCGTCCATGCCGCATTTTAATGCGAGGTGCAAACTGCCTAATAAACTTATCACTGTAATTGTTGTGTGTGGTTGGTGCTGCACATCGAGTGTGTCCGCATAGCTGTCGAGCGTTTTGTGTGTTTGAAGCTCGATTCATATCAGTTTGAGCCCGACTCTTTGTGCATGACTGATTGCTTTGTGTGTCTGACCACAATTGAAAAGAGATCCATCTCTCGCCTCTCTCTCTTGCTCCCCCTCTGTGTGCGACTGGGTGTCTCTATCTACTCAGTTCCACCTTAAGAGGAGCTTTAGCAGGCTGTCGTGTTTGTGTTGAAGCCAACAGGCACAATATATTACAGTCTAGGGCTTGCTGCTGAAAAGCCCGCTGGATCCTCCACTGACCTGCTGTTCTTTCCTGCTTTCCTCTTGCATTTTTTTCCACATTTAGATTAAAAACAAAGCTCTCACTCTCTCACACACACACTCTCACTCCCGTCCCCTCCTCCTTCTCCTTCTCCTCCTCCTCCTTTTTCTTCTTCTTCTTCTTCTTCTTCTTCTTATCCTCCTTCTTCTTTTCTGCGGCAGCAGTCAAGGCAGAGGCTTCAGTGTGTCACAGAGAGGGCGAAGAGGAGGAAAAAGCAGAGAAGAAGACTATTTGATCGAGCTGAATGTTTGTTTACGTTTGTGTGTTTCGCCATTGGACGGCTGGGTGAAGGGGCAGGAGGAGAAGAGGGGCGAAGAGTAGGAGAAGTGGAAGAGGCGAGCTTGTCTGGATGAAATTCTCTGTGTCATGTCACTACGTGTGGACCCTGACTGATCACAGGGTGAGGAGAAGGCTGAGAGACGCTAAGGAGGAGAAACTGAGACTTTCACTGTGGAAAGGACAAGAGAGGAGGAGGAGGTAAAGTCCGCTGCTCCGTTTTGTCATGATATTATCGGATGAAGGAATTGACAGACTTCTTCTTCAGTTGTGCGTCAAGAGGAATATGCAGTAAAAGATAAATATATATATACATATATAGGGAGAGAGCGCGCGAGAAAAAGCAAAGAACAGAAGAGTAAAGACTGCTGCGTTCAACCCTGCCAAGGAGCAGGAACTGGACTTATTGACTGGTGAGAGTGTGCGGGGGTTTGTGTGTGCGTGTGTGTGGCTGTGTAACCGGTGGAGGGCAGAGGAGTGGAGGGCCAGGGGACTAACCTGGCCATCAAACGGACTGGCAGCCTCTCCTCTCCTGGGATCATGTACCCTCAGGGCAGGCATCCGGTATGTACCTCCTTATGTCTTCTTTACCTGTCTGTCTCTGTCTCCCTTTTTATGTCTCCGATTGCATTGTCACTTTTTTTTCTTCAGTACGTCTCTTATCTTGCGTCTTTCTGATTTCTTTTTTTAATTTCCTGCTGGTCTTTCCTTACGTCCCTTCTCTTCTCAACTCTCACCTTGTTTATGTGTCTGTGTCCTTCTGTCTGTCTTTTTCTGTCCCTCCTCCTTAGTTTTACTGTAACATGAGGAGTGAGACGTGATGGGAGGGGAGGGGGATGTTTGGGCTAATAGATCCCCTGTTATGCACACACACACACACACACACACACACACACACACACACACACACACACACACACACACACACACACACACACACACACACACACCTCTGTCATCTGTAACCAGGTGCCTTTGAGATCTTGTTGATAATTGGCAATGTAGGTGGCACATAACTGAATCTGCACCTTTCAGTGTGCATTTGTGTGTGTGTGTGTGTGTGTGTGTGCATGTGTGTGTGAAAGACCATCAGCTGTCTATTTGCTCATTTCTGTTGTTAAGCAAACACACACAGACGCCCAGACACACACACACACACACACATGCACACACATGCACACACATAGACATAGGCCATTTAATTTATAGTTAAATTCTACTTAATTCATTTCCATTACAACTACGAAAGGTCATGAGTGCACAAGTACTTCCCCTTAATACCTCTTTAAAATCCCTCCTTCAGTTTCACCCTCCACCACCAGTAAGAATTCGCCGTTAATTTACCTGCCGGGGTAAAATAAAGGTTAAATACGTAGACTAAAAAGCACAGAAGGATGAATGACAGCTTAGGCTCAGTTTGGCTTAGGCCATTCGTTTCACAAGGGCCCTGGTCTGGTTGCTATAATCAGATTTGGTTGTCAGTCTCTTTGTATCTGCTACAAATGGGTCAGTGGCCACTTTGCCTCACAGTCAGCCAGCAAGCCAACCACTCAGTCAGTCAGCCAGCCATCCAACCAGCCAGCCAGCTATCACACAGAATTATGAATGACATTTCCACAAGAGGAAGGCATGAGGAATCAATTATACGTACAGAGAGAATGCTAATAAGGCAGCAGCGGGAAAAGAAGGGAGAAAAAGACGCTGGAAGAAACAGAGGAGTAAATACAAATGGAGAAAGTGAAAGATGTAAGAGCCAAGAAGAAGGAGGAGGGGGGGCAAAAAAGGCTAGAAAGAATTCTTTAAAAAGGCACGGCTGGGGGTGGAAAGCGAAATGAAAATGAATGAGAGATGCGAAAGAAGAATAGAGCGCGAACATTCCTCTGTTCTCTCCTTTAGAGACGAATCAGAAAGCTTCCTGCTGCGATGCTCTGCCTTTCTGATAAAGTTCAATGCCAGATTGAGCCAACTCCAACCGATCAATAGTCTCCATCTCGCTCTTTCTGTCTCTCTCCCGTCTTTCTCCTCCTCCCTCGCTTCTTCCTCTGCGGCCCTCCTCTGCCAGAGGAACTTTATTTCTGGTGTTGCTGTGAAATGTGATCTGTGGAGAGGTGCGAGGGTGCAAAGAACGGTTACGTGTGTGCGCGCATGTGTGTGGTTGTCTGAGTTTTCATGCGCTTGTGTTTGTAGACACTGTGTGAGTGTGCTCATATGCATATACACATGTGCTCAGTTCAGACTTACTTATAATTTGTACTCTTAGCTTTTAGCAGTCCGTCAGCTTTTCCACATGCAGGAATGCTAAATATTATTATTTTTCCCTGTTTTCATACTAGTTTGTTGTTTAGATACTTTAATTGTGCCTATGTGAATGGGAAAAGGTTGTAATAGGTATAAATATATACTCCCTTCAATAACATCAAGCAGGTTTCTAGGAATGAGCTTACATTTAAAAAGTGTGTTTCTAGTTTAGAGGCAGATTTCCCTTTTTTCAGTCAAACATTAGTTTCCATTCATTTAAAAGAGGCTTGAAAGTTGCACGAGTCAGATCATCTCTGACAGTAATCGCTGTATTGCCTTAATTGTTTGTGGTAAAGAAACACTTCTGTGTTGCTGTCTTTTTACACGGATCCCCATCAAACATTCTCCTCAAAAACTAGTCGACTGCATCAAACAGCTGATGAGTGTCACTGGTAAATGCAATCAGAAGCCAAACTGTAAGGAATGTGAAAGTAAAGTACGAGCTGTGTGTGTTTTTGATCACACCACAACAGTTTACGAAATCTATGTGAAACCTGTGTTACCAAGAGCTGATAATGTAACTTTGAATGGTTTCATGTCACGACCAAGTTAGGTTATGAAGTATAACTTATTTGAAAGTTTGTCTGAAGATGTCTTAAATATACTTGATTTCTTCATCTAAAGTGGTGGTTAAGTCATGATTGATGATGTGATTTTTCCTCTTCAGTCTGACATGTCGGTTTAATTCCCAACAGGCTGCCTTGAATGTGACATGCTCCGACCCATGCCTATTTGGAAGTGATGTCTTCAGATTAATGGATAAAACGAGGATGCAAGGCTTGAACTGCATCATTACTGTTGTTGTCATTTTAATTGTTTTTGGAAAAGTCAGACTTTGTTCTGGTTCCCTGGTGGGAAAGGGTTAAAAACTGAGGGTTGATTTGCCAGGCGAGCAGAGCTGTAATTGGTTCCACTGGATTTTTGTGGCAAGCGTTATCAGAACTGTGTGTACAATTTTGTGTGTGTGTGTGTGTGTGTGTGTGTGTGTGTGTGTGTGTGTGTGTGTGTGTGTGTGTGTGTGTGTGTGTGTGTGAGAGAGAGAGGGGGGGGGTTGTGCGAGGTGTGTTTCTGTTTAATGTGTGTTTTGCAGCGCGTGTGCTTTTTCTTTTAGGTGTCTATTTCCTTTTAGTGCTTTGCGAGTGTGCGCATATTTGTATTAGCTGTGTGTGAGTGTGTGTCGCCTTGTTTGTTGACTTAGATGTGTGTTTCTCAGTGTGCATTTCTCCAGTGTAAGGTTCAGTGCTGTCTTACGTGCGTTTGTGTGTAACCATATGCATGTGCTTGGCTGTAATGCTGTTAGTTTTTATTTCTCAGTTAAATGCTCAAGAACCCCTCGTTCTTCCTGTTTATTTATTTTTATGGTTCACGTTTGTTTACTTGCTGCGCATGGAATTTGGGACCAATCAGACAGCTCTATGCCAGTATTGCAGGGTGGATATGAACCCCCAAACTTTTGCATGTGTGTGTGCTTGATTTGGAAGTGGAAGTGCAAAAGGAGAGCCGTGGCGGTGTGTGTGGATGTGTGTGTATGGGCCTACAACAGTAACAATAAATATTGTCCCAGTTCGACCTCGACTGCTGCTGTGAATGTACAAGGCCTTGATTGGCTGCCACACCCCAGTGAGCCAGGGGGAGGGAAAGAAGGGGCGAAAGGGAGAGATTTCCAGTTTATTTTCCCGGTTAACAGAGATGTCAGGGACTCCTAGCTTGTAGAGGGGATCATGATTAGACTCAAACTGAAATATACACGCGTACTTATCTTCTACGTCATTATATACAGTGTATTTCACAGCCACACAAACTCTCTGCACGTTTCTTTAAAGGTGCAGAATCTACACATTTTGGCTGTGTGTTCACCTTAAGCTGCTTCCCTGTGTGTGTGCTACAAATTCTTCCTTGGATCCCACATTTGCAAAGACTCTAGTGTGGAGGACAGAAGCATATGCAATTAGAAGAGAAAGAGCAAAGCATGGTCGAGCCAGGAAGAGAAAGGTGTTGAATTTTCCACAATTGTAATAATAAAAGGTTGCAAAGAAATACTGGAGATATTTAACCACATCTATCACGATGTTACAGTTATTAAATTGTTCAATATTTGCCTTTCAATGAGTTGCCAGACAAGTAAAGGGGAAAATGTTTGTTGCAGAACTTAAAATGTACAGTCATCTCTGTGCATGTATGAAATGAGCTTGCTTCTCCTGTGGCCATGAACAGACTGACAAACTAATTGCAATAGACGGCCACAGAAAGTACGTATGACTCAGTAATGAGGCGAGAGACGCCGAAGTGTTTCTGTGCAACTTAAACTCGTTTGATGAGTGTGTGTCAGACTAGTTGAGATGACTTCATTGCGTTGGCAGTAATTAAGTAATTGTTAGTTTGTTCTGCAGACATACAAATATGCAGCGTTTGCTTTCACATGCACACACTGGCCCTGCCATTTCTTCTTCTTGCTGTGTTGGGTAGTTTGTTTTTTTCCAAACATTTGTGGCTGTAATGACATCTACGTACGGTAAACAGCACAGAGGATTGCTGTAACCTCCCACAGATGACATTCTCGCCTCCTCCCGAGACATTGTCCTTGTGTTGTTTACATTTAATTTCATTCAGCATTTCAGAGGCAACCTTCTAAATGGCAAAAAGTCAAGCAACAACAATACAACTGCAGTGAGACGACCCGCAGGATAAGCAAAAAGTCAAACAACTAACCAAGCAGCTACTCCTGATCAGCCATCAGCAGCCACCCAGATTAAGGCTCCTCTCTGATTAAAAACAGGCCTTTTTTCATCCTCAAATCCTGCGTTCTGTGTTCTTTTCTTTGCCATTAAAAGAAATGATCAGAGCGAGGCTTGGATCGAGTCCAGAGACTCATTTAGCTGCCAATCTTTCCCTTATTTGTAATCCACCTCTGGCTTAACGGCTGACTGGTGAGCTGCAGCTTTAACTGGCTTGCTTTCTGACTGACCGGTAACTCGTGGACTGACGGGCTGATTCAATGTCTATTTCACTTTAGGGCTACTGGATCACTGACTGATATTGATTAGATCTTATTGATACAAGCAGCGCATTTGATTTAGCTTGCAGTTGTGTTTTGTTAAGTTTTTTTAATTGATCCTCCTCTCGATTGCTGAAAAAATATTTTTTTTGTTCTTTATTAGCATCCACCCAGCTGGGTTATTATCTCAGAGTGAGCTGAAGCTTTACTACAATGAAATTGAAATAATTATTGTACCACGTCAGGGTTTTTCCTCGCTCAGAATGTGCCT